ATTATCATAATTACCAAAAGATTAATTTAGGTAGAAAAAGAGAAACAAAAACTACAGGATGGGGAAAGTATTCAATGATGAAACTTTCAAAACCCCATGTGAGGTAACCTGATTTAGGCCTCTGCTGCTTCCCACTTCTGGACAAGCCATTGTCCTCTTCTTTTCCTTAGGGAAACATGACAGCCTTGTTCTGCATCCTTGATGGCCACAGATATAAGGGTGAAGAAGCATTGCAAAAAATTTTTCTCTGGCCACCTCTGACTCATGAACTCCATCAAAATGCTATTTCTCACCTCCTTTCTCTACAGCTTCTAACTTAAGTGATCATTTTTCAGGGTGAAAACTAACTGTGGAAAAGCAACAGGATCTGTTCCAGGTCATTTCTGCAGTAGGAGAGTCAGCATGCAGTCCCTGTTCCTGGTGTCTGATAGCCACCTCCTTGCCATCTGAAGGCAGGGAATCATGCAGCTATAGTACATTGCTTGAAAAAAAAACTTCATCAAATGATAGCAAGATTCTTAGCCTTGGGCCTCTTGATTCATGTTCCACATGCAAGAGTGTGAGCCTTGAATATGGCCAGTGATGTTTTCCCAACAATCTAGGCACTCCTATCACATGAAAACTGCCAAAGAAACAAGGTATTAGCAAGCAATTCAGCAATGTCTATGTTAGCAAGTAACTGCCCACATGCTTTAAATTTTATTCCATCTCCTTTCTGTTTTAAAAACTATAATTATTGACACATACTAGTTATACAGAGTAAAGAGATTCATTATATTTTTGTATTTGCATATATTGTGCATCAATCAAGTTCATCCACCCCTCTCTTACCTTCTCCCTCTCCCCTAACCCTCCTCGCAGGTCTGTGTAGTCCCTCTTCTACTTTTTTAAAGATTCCACATATGAGAGAAAACATGCAATATTTTTCGGTATCTGAATTATTTTGTTTAACATATATCCTTCATTACCATGCATTTTTCTGCCATATAACCAGATTTTACTCTTCTTTATGGTTGAGTAGAATGTGAGTGTGCATGTGTGCACATGTGCACGCCATGTTTGCTTTGCCCATTGACCAGCAGACAGATATGTAGACTGATTCCTTGCTTGGTTATTGTGAATAGTGCCTCTCTTGCTCCTTTCTTGCTCATTAGCCATTGTTGTATAACAAAGTATTCCCAAAATCAGTGCCTTTTTGCAAATTTTTATAATTATTACTCAATTTTCTGGTTTGACTATGCTCAGTTGGGTAGTTCTTGATTACAGTACACTGTCATGGAACTTCAGTCAGCTTGCAGCTAAAACTGCAGTTCCCAGGTGAGTCATTTGGGCTGGACATCCACCACAGTACATTCCCATAGCCTGAACTCCAGGAATAAAAAAGGGAGGGCTGGAATGTATCTTGAGGTACAGGACTTGCCTAGCATGAAGGAGGTCCTGAGTTACATTCCCACTATACGATTGTATAATGGCTTACAATTGATTTCTAAGACAATAGGATAAATGAAAACTGGATAGAGGAGCATTATTTGCTATAATAAAGCAAAGGAAATGACAAGCTTAGTGCCAGCAGGGAGGAAAACTGATGAGACCTCATTTCACTGCAGAACCTTGGAAGTAGTGAAATTCTGTGTGATACAAAACTAAAATTGTGAGCTATTGCTTACTTTCTTTCTGTCAACAAAACCACACTATTCTTGTTTCAGGCATTGAGTTGGGTACTGAGAAACAGTAATTACAAGTTGTCTTAGTTACTTTTCACTGGTTGTTGAGACAAAATATCTGATGCCCAACATGAAAGAAGGAAAGGTTTATTTCTTACAGGTTGGAGGCTTCAGTCCATACTCAGTTGGCTCCAATTTTAAATGACATGGCTGAGGGGCAGTAGTTTGTGGTGGCTACAAACATCAGGCATGAACAGCAAAAGAGAAACACAAGCCTTCTTTCCTCAGGTATACTGCATGCTGGCTCCAACCTTGGCAGGTGTAGTACTCATACCACCAATCTGAGTGCTAGAAAACAACCAATCAGAAAACATAGATATGGTCACATCCATGATGACATGAGGCTTGAGGGGTACTGAGGTTAACCATGACAAAGAGCCTGCAGTCATACTCTCATCATGAAGCCTACAGTCTATTGAGGTGGAGGGATATTTATCCAATCACTACCCAAATGTTGGCTGAGCATTCCTAACCTGAATCCTGAAGTCTGAAATGCTTCAAAGTCTAGAACTTTTGAGTACTGATACAGTGCCAAAAGTGAAAATTTTCACAAGAAATTTTGTCTCAAACACAATAGTTTTTCATTAAGACTATTAGTATATTTTAGGTGTAAATAATGATCATGTAAACCATGGGAAATTTGTACCGTACATTAAATCCTTGAATGTGTTATTCTCCATTCTAACTTTGCTTCAACTCCCTTCCCTTCCTTATTTATGAAAGCTTTGTTGGCTTCTTTTGGCATTAATTGTTTCTTTTCTCTTCCTTCTTTTCTCCCTCCTACATGCCTAATTCCTCATTTCATTAGAAAATGTTCACAATATCTATATTATTTTAGTGCTTATCTACATTTTCAGCTTCCCACACCAGAGAAACAATACAATACACATGTCAAACACAAAATTATGAAAAGTATTGTATAAAATTTACTTCAGGTTATGAGTATGAAGTATATGTGAACCATAAATAAATTTCATATTTAAACTTGTGTTCCATCCTCAAGATAACTTATTATGTATATGCAAATTTTCCAACAAATAAAAAATATAGAAATTCCAAACAGTTCTGGTCACAATCATGTTCTATAGGGGACACTTAATTTGTAGATGTTTAATTAAAAACTCAAAGAAGAAGTACAAGGGGTGATCAAAATATACAGCTAATAATAATTTTTTAGATGTACCACAATAGTGATATGTGGCAATTAATCCTTCTTAAAAAGCCCCTATTTAGGCAAATAAATAAAATAAATAAATAATAAATAAATAAATAAACCCTCACTTGAAAAACAATTCTCCATTTGTTCTTGCAATTTCTGAAGCAGTTTGGAAGTCCTCTTTTGTGAGTGTCTTTAAATATTGGAATAAACATTATAGTTAGTGCTGCTGCTTAGTGCCATCCAATGGAAAGGAACGCTCATAAATACATTATGATGTGTCCTCATCCACTTGATTCGCCAGATCTGGACCCTTGTGACTCTTCTGAAAATCAAAATGACCATGAAAGATGAATATTTTGAATTGATTCAATACATTGAGACAGCCACAACAGCACAACTAAAGATACTCATAAGAGGACTTCCAGAATTGTTTCAAAGAAAATGGCAAAATGATGGAATAAGTGCATTCAAATGAAGGAGGAACTTGGTGTAGTGGTGCATACCTGTAAACTCAGCACTTGGGAGGCTGAAGCAATAAAATCGTTGACTTTGAGACTATCTTAGGCAACACAGTGAGTTGAAGGCCAGCATGAACTCCATAGCAAAACCCTGACTCACAAAACCAAAAACCAACCAACAAAGAACACCTAGCTGATCGTTTCAGCACAATTTTGTGTTTGTGTGTAGATTACTGACTCACTGAAGATGGAAGACCTTTCCTGTGTGTGGTGGGGAACCAATAGGCCTTCATCCTGGAGGCTGTAAAAAGGGAAAGGAGAAAGTATGGCTTCTGCCTCTTCAGAAGAGTTCGAATCCTTGCCATCACCTTAGGTATCATTTCCAGGCACCTAGCACAGATTCTTCGGCTCCCTGCCAGAGACTCTCCAGGGACTCTGCAGTGAGCTCCAGACCTCAGACTTGTGATTGGAGTTTTTGCATCTCCAAGGAGCACCTGACCCTTTTGCACTCTTCTCCACCTGACTCTGCAGATGGCCATCCTAAGCCTAATTTGCAAATCCTTTATATCACCCACACATACACACACACACACACACACAGAAATTGAATCTGATCCTATAGTGAACCCTGACAAACACTGCCTCTACCTAGCTGTGCAACCTCCCATGAACAATTTTATGCCTCACTCATGTGAAAAATCCAAAGCGAAACTGCAGCGGTGCTGTGCTAAGTATGAGTTAGTTAACAGAGATGTTGGTGTAAGGCCCGCTGGGTTAAAATTCTGTCCACTGCTTTGTCATTGGAAAAGGTATTTATTTTTGGTGTCTAGGCTCACACAGCAATGAAAATGAAGATAATTCCTATCTCACACTCTTGTAAGAATTAACATATGTAAAGCGCCTCAAAGAGGCCCTGGACTGACACCGATAAGTGAGAAAGAAGCTTGTTAGCACATTATATGAACATGTAAACATACTTTTAAGATACAAAAACATCAGACAATGGATTCCGGAAGCACTCATTTCTCTGTAATAAAAGAAGGGAAACAATGCAAATAACCAATGGCATCTGAGCTCTTGCTATATGCTAGGAGCCATGGGAAGCGCTCTGCAGGGTTTTCATTGGATCTTCACAGCAGTGCCAAGAGAGGAGTATTGCCATTGATCATGGTTTGTTTTTCGAATGGAAAAAAATCCACAATATTTCAAAACAAAGTAATAGGAGAATGACAGTAGTGGAAATTGAGACTCCAAGAAGAGAAGCAGTGGGCCCAAGGTTTCAGAGCTACAAGATTTGAGTCCAGACACCAATAAATTCCATGTCTGGGACTCAGTCCACTCCTATGCTTCCTGTCATAGTGGGCCTGGGGCTCAGAGTCTCCCAGAAGCCTCATCAGAGACCTCCACCGGCAGCCACACCCTGCTTCAGCGGGACCCTAACCCCCACTGCCAAGCCCACTGCCTCATTCTTGCCCCACTGACAGGCTTGGAGCCTGCTTTGTCCCAACTTCTAGCACTGCCCCTTACGCTTCCCTCATACCCTTCTCCCCACCCCCTTCCAGGACCAAAGGTTCTGCTGCTCCGCCCCACACCCGGCGGGCCACGCCCACCGACGGCCTGTGCATGATCCTCCACATCCCAGCTCAGTCCGGCCGCGCCCCGCCTCGCCCTCGCAGTGCATGCCGGTCTTGTGCTTGGAGTCTCCATTTTGCCCCTAGAGATGCTGTCTGAAGACCAGTGCTCTCTTCCTTCAGTGGCCTAGGCTGCGTCGGGGCCTGAGCTGGGGTCTGGTCCAGGTAGGCTGGCGGGAGCCCGCAGCAAGCGGCGGCGCGGCTAGGTGGCCCCCAGGTTAATGGGCGCAGCTGCCCGGGAAGGGAGTCCTTATGGCTGGGTCACAGGCCTGGGCGGTGGCGGGCATGGCGCTGCGGGCGACCCGGCCTCCGCGCGCAGGGCCCCTCTCTCCCTTCTTCCCTCCTCTCCGTCGGGGGTCAGCACAGCCAGGCTACAGGCAGCCCAGCCCTGGTGTGGGACCTGCAGGAGGCGGCTTGGGGTCTCACATGGCCTCTGCTGTCAGTGAGCCTGCCCATGCTGAGCCGCGGATATTTACCCCCAAAATGACGATTTCATTCCACTAGAAGCTCCTTCCCTGCAGAAACTGAGAGAGGACTGAGATGTTACAGTAAGATAGCAGTTATTATTCTACCTGCACATGCTGTGGCTCCAGTCTGTTTCATTGATAAGGGGCTTTCTGCTTCTTTTAATATTGGCACTACTTGGGTGTTTAGGTTTTGTGAGGGGTGTTTAGGTTTTGTGAGGAGTCTGAATGTGTCATGGGGCTTTGAGGCATGAGGAAGTGTGATTCCACAATTTAAGTCCACAAAAATAATGCACACACATTGTTGAACCCTGATGCAGAATATCCTTCTTGTCCTATTCTGCTGTCTCTGACCATTACTCCCCAGTTGTGCTCACATCATTTATATATTTTCATAGTGTTGAATATTGATATTATATGCATAGGTAGTGTTGTACTTAGTTATTCTCTTACTGACCATGTACATAAGTCTAGTTCCTCTTAGAACACTTTCATTGAACATATATCATTTTTTCTTGGGATAAATTCCAGAATTTGGAAATACTAAGTCAAAGTTCTCTGCTCTTTCCCTGCCACTTGATATGAATTGGTGCCTAAACAAGACACGTTTACATCTTTCAAAATCTAGGTATTTGCCCAAATTTCTTGGCAAATTTGGAGTTCAGCAAGAGGTTGAGTCATTTTCTGTGCAGGCTGAGAGACAGGCCACACAACCTACTGTTGGACTTTGTTATTAAGTCATGTACCATGTTCATTTTTTGTTTTGATTGACTCTATTCTGTTTTGTTTCATTTCGTTTTATTCTCTTTAAAATAAAAAATGAAATAAAAAATATTTTCTTGCTGTTCATGGTGGTGCATGCCTGTAATCCCATAACTCTGGAGGGTTAGACAGGAGGATCACAGTGAATGCCAGGCTAGCCTGAAATACTTGCTGAGTTCAAGATCAGGCTGCAGTACATAGCAGGACCTTGTTTCAGAATGAAATAAACAACCCCTTTTTCCTCTTTTCTTATTTTAATGTACCATAAGTAGATACTAATAAAGAAAATATGAAAACACTTTTATAAATAAAGTTTTCATACTATGCAGTTTGTATACTATGAAACTATATAGTATGCCTTATACACTATAGCATACTTTATATAAATTTATATACTGTAAAACTGCATAGTATGAAACTATTAAGTTTTTGAGCTGGGCATGGTGGCTCACACCTGTAATCCCAGCACTCAGGAGGCTGAGGTAGGAGAATCCTTGCAAGTCTGAAACAAGCCTGGGCTAAAATGTGAGCTCAAGTCCAGCATAAACTGCATAGCAAGACCACATCTCAAAAACACCAAAAAAGAAAAAAGAAACTATGCAGTTTCATACTATGCAGTTTATGTACTATGTTCAATGATGCCGGGGATTTCTGCATGAGGTATATGCCCCTGCACTTTTAAAATTTGTTCTTATTTGCTTGTTTTTTAAGACAGTGTCTAAATAATTTTCTCAATTCCCCAGGTTTGGTTTAACCTGGTGTTCCTTATTCCTTACCTCCCAGAGTTCTGGGAGTACAGGTATAGGCTGTCTTTACTTACAGATTCACAACAATTATGTATGTTTATGGGATAAAATGTGCTTTTGATCGATGGCTCCTTTGTGGAAAGAATCAATCTAGTTAATGTACCTACCATCTTAGAAACCTACAAATTCTTTCACAGTGACTGGGACTGCAAATCCCATTGTTTAGGAGTTTTGAAATCTATCCTTCTTAGTTAAATGTAGTCACCATGCAGTTCAGTAGAGAACTGAAAATTTCTTGTCCACCGTGACTGAGATGTTGTATTTTTGGGTGACCATCCTCCTTTCCCCATCCCTCATGGAAATGATCATTTTTTAAAATCAAGAATTGTGTGGAGGCTAAAGGTACTTGGGGCACACTGCTCTTCAGAAAGACCAGGCAGTGGTACTCTGCAGCCCTTCACCTTGCTCCCAATTTTTGTTTGTTTGTTTCTTTTTCCTTAACTGAATAGTAATCGGATGCAGGGATGTCTTAGTTACTTTTTACTGGTTGCTGAGACAAAAATCCTGATGCCAAAATTTGGGAAAGGAAAGGTTTATTTCTTACATTTTGTGGAGGTTTCAGTCCATACTCAGTTGGCTCCAAGATAGGGTGACATGGCAGGGTCGCAGTTCATGGTGGCTGAAAACAGCAAGGAGGAAACAGGCAAAAGCACCAAACACAACTTCTTCCTGCCAGTACATCACATCCTGGCTCTACCCCTAGGCCAGTGAAACACTCACACCCCCAATGCAAGCCCTAAACAATGATCCAAGCACAAATGCAAAATGTAAAGGCATGAGGCCTAGGGACCACAGACTTAAACTATGACAAGGGACTTGCACTGAACTACACTTTTGTTTTTAAAATTCTTTTTTATTTTTAGCCAGGGTCACCATAAGTAACTATACTGCTGAGACACCATTCTTACACACAGATTCTTACAAGTCTATGTGCGGATGCACATTGATGTCAGAGACATTTCCCTTTCAAAACTGAGATACTTGTTCTCACATCCATGTATTATTTCATGATCAGATTCCTTGGCTTCTTTCCCTGTAGACCCAGGGAGACCAATCTCAGCATCTCTGCAGCTTTCCCTGCTTCCTATGACCCACACTGGTACCACACACCCTTTACGTGGAAGAGAGGGATGGCCCCAGTTCCTTCCTGCTCCAAATAGCTGTGAATCAAACTCTTTCAAGGAAATCTTGCAAAGTTGTGCAGCTCTCTGTAAGGGATAAACATCTGTTGTTAACCCTGCCAGGTCCAGGGACAAATGTGTGTAGTGCTCTGATGTGAGCTGCCAGACAGGTCTCTGCTCTGCCCGCCATATTCTGCCCAGTGCTATTCAGCACCTGCCTTAAAACTTGCCATCAGGTGGAGACTCAGCACATCTCAGGGATGTGTGCCTGCATGAATCAGCTTTGGAGGCTCAGCGTTTTCTGCATTTGTTGGCCAAATGTGGTGATTCTGTTTTTTTTTTTATTTAAAGAGAAAAACAAAACAAAACAAAACAAAACAGTAAGAGGGTACAAGTAATACAGAGTTCCAAGAAAAAAAATACAGTAAGAAATCACTAGTTAATAGATTATGTAATGCCATTTCAACAGTTGTCCAGATTACAAAATTAAAACATACAAAGTGGACATTAATACAGTGAAGTTTTAGACAGTTCTGTTCAATGATCCAACAAAAACTCAGTAATATGGTTTTGTATTCTATACACTTAAATATACATATAGTTTATATGTATTAAATATACATACAGTTATAACCTTGGGATCACTTTCTTTTCCTCTCTTTTTTATGATAACAATTACACATTGGAGTTTTATTATTCCCACAGTTCTTATAACTTTTTCTTTGAAGAGGAAAAAAACAAAAATAAAAACATAACAAATGAAACAAAGCAAAACAAAAACAAAAAAACCCCAACGTGACAAAGCAAAACAGAGTCAGAACAGGAGGATGGACATAGTATATAATGCAAAAAGAGAATACCAGGTGATCAGCAATGGTTACCATTATGCCTCTTGCTATTCTAAAAAGAGTTGCCTGTATCATCTGGTATAATAGATTTGAACAAAACAGTACAGAACAGGGCCAATAAAACCCACATTGGAGGCCTTACAGGACTTCCAAAGAAGATAATAGTCAAACTATAATGAGCATCATAGAATATCTTGTTGCCTTCAAAGTAGTTGCCTATACCCTCAACTTGATGCTATTAAACAAACAGAATGTAGTAAAATCAGTCAGGACAAGATGTGGAGAACAATACAGGGATTTAAATCAGTTAATAACAAAACAAAAAAGTTACTATAATATATCCCACTATTTTTAATTTAGTTTTCCCTTAAAAATAATAAGAAATTAATTTGTAAAAAAAGAAAAAAAGGGAGATTGAGATAAAAGAGGACATATCAATAGAACAACACAGGTCAGAACTGAACAATTTAAGCATCATTGTGTTTCACCACCAGATAGCCTGACATAATAGTTGTTACCATAGTGTCTCTTTCCTAGAAATATTGGAGTATAACTTTGTGTACTATAGCATCAAACTTATCAAGACATTGTGAAATCATTCAAGTGAATGAAAGTATCACAGGATATTTAGAACCAGCTAAAAGAAACTGAACAATTGTTTCTATACTATCTCTTTGCCTATAAAAAATTTGTTTATACTATTGCATATATTAAAATATAATATGATACAAGATGTTAAAACCAATGGAAACAGATGAACAACAACTTGATGGGACTTCAAAACAGGATGATATTAAATCAGCACTAGCTATTATGCTGTCTAATTTTCTTCAAAATAGCTATTCGTACTATTACAGACAATAAAATCGAACAACCCAGATTAAAACCATTCCAATTAATGAATGAAAACATTATATGGCTTCAACCAATATGATGGGAATCATGATTACCATGTACTTTTATGTATTCTTATCATTTCTTACACTAGGGAAACTATTCAGTATTTATACATGTGAGTTTGATTTATTTCACTTATAAGTATGTTCTCAAGCTGCATCCATTTATTTATATCTCAATGTGATCATCCTTTATAGCTGAGTAGTACTTCATTGTTTAAAAATACCACAAATTTTTTATCCATTCCTCAGTTGATGGACACTTAGG